GGCCTCTGCCTCGTGGCCGGAAGTGGCTTCCTGGCGGCCGATTTCCTCCAGCCCCCTCCAAACCCCGCTCCACTCTGATGTGTAGACTTGCTCATTTGCATTCTATACTTATTCCACTCCCTAAACTCACGGGAGAAGGGGGGTTTAGATTTACTAAAAATATTCATACAAATCCATTCGCGTGATAAACCATGATTTCTATTAAAAATATAAACAAAGGTACTAAAAGAGATGGATTGACACAGTGGCTGCAACAACGGGCTCGAGCATAACAATGATTGCGGGGATGGCGAGGGACCCGGCAGTGTTTCCATCTGTTGTACACGGGGTTGCTGTGAGTCAGAACCAACTCGACAGCACCTAACAACAAACTACCGAATGCATTTATTAAGTTTGAGATTAGATTCACTGTGGAAAAGATATACGAACTACGAAAAAAAAACCCAAACCCACTGCAGTCCAATCGGTTCCGACTTATAGTGACCCTATTGGACAGAGGAGAACTGCCCCACAGGGTTTCCAAGGAGCGGCTGGTGGATACAAACTGCCGACCTTTTGGTTAGCAGCCAAGCTCTTAATCACTCTGCCACCAGGAATAGGAGGTTATAAATATTGGAACAGGAAGTTAAAATTAACATATAGGAATCTAACTCCATTAACTAATTTTCTCCAGGACTACCTTCTTTTTCTTTTTTTTTTTATTTCTGGTTTTGGAACATCACTTTCCAACATGGTTAGAATGATGTAAAGGTTAGGGAATGAAGAAAATTCCTTTTAATAAGGAAAACTCTGAAAAGTACAGAGGATGAATCAGAACACGGGGGGCTCTGCAAATAAATGTCCCAGAGAATCTGTCAAAGCCAGTGGCCTTCAGCTAGAGCCCAAATTTGATGACTTACCCATTTTGTAAATAGCAAAGCTTCAGGAGGGTTCCTTCATACACAGAGCTGACATCTGAGGTGTGAACAACACAAGCTTATAATAATGACAACGACAAAATTATCGATAATTACCAAAACCTAAATAACCCAAAATTATTAAATTATACTATTATACATAATAATAACCAAAAGTAAATTTTCTTAGTAGAACAATTTATTAATGGATATGCAATAAAACATCTCCCAAAAAGTCTTTCCAGAAATGACAAGGCAGAAAGTAAATATTTGGTTTTTCGTTCTCTGGGGATTTTTTTTTTTTTTTAATATAAACATAAAATATTTGAAGAAACGATAAAAAGTAACAAATGAACCTGTAAATATTTTTAAAATCAGATTTCAGATAGGTACACGAGGTTTAGACATACAGATGTGTCATCTGACAACTGACTTGAACATCTAAACAGAAACCAGAAAGCACTTCCATCATTTCAACGATAAAAACACAATTCAGTTAAGTACTCCAAATCTAGGAAGAATGGCCTGAAAAATACAGTAAGAATTATTATGAAAGTTAAGATCTAGTAAGACTGAACTTGAAGAAAAAGCGGGACATAAGGGGGGACAGGATGTCATCAGCACAAAGTCCTTCTACATGTAGACATAATTATACAGAAAAATAAATGTATAAAAGTTACATAAATACAAGCATGATCTCTAAATATTTAAATACCCTCCGAGACAAGTTATATTTTCAACTTAACCACAAGTCAGCGACCACATTCCCAACAGGCTATTTAAGGACAAAAATGTATATATATATATGTGTGTATGTGTATATATAGATACATATGTATTAGAGCTGGGAGATGCCTATAGAAGTTCTGAGTACACAGCGACGTCCAGCAAATAAGCAAAATGTGTGAATACAGAGTTGGATCCGAGTTACACACAGTCAGATGTATATGTTACAGACAAGTGAAAAGTACAATTACATTAAATAAGGAACACAATTTCTAAACTGTTCCATATTATTCACACTTAATTGTCCGGAATCAAGGATAGCCACACTAATTTTCAAACCAAACAAAGTCAAAATACAGTCGCATGCTTATACAATAACGTACACAGGAACAAAATTTAACTATATATTTTGGATATCCTTCACATATTCATTTATAATGTGGACAAGCTGCTACCTTAATAAATGTCCATTCATTAGTAAGATTTCATACATTTTACGAGTCTAAAAATAAGTCATACTGTTTTACTAAAAAACTTTGATGAGCAATAGAAGTGTTTAATTATCATAGATTCCTAAAAACTCTGGGAATTAACTTTTAAACTTCAGCAGAATATTAAGGACTTACCAAGAACCTGTAAATGATCTGTATGAGGGTTTGAATTTCTGAACTCACTTCATGTCTAGGACTAATTTCCTTGAACTTAAAGAGTCCTAAATCTTGGTCCCAACACCATACTTAAATTCAGACCCCAGTGATGTAAACAGGGAAACACAAGCTTTTGTTTAGTGAACAAAGAAGAGACCGTTGTCTTTACAGCAGTAACTGATTATTTATTATCTTGGGTAATGGAACCAGTAGAATTGGAGCCCAATACAATAATCTAGACTTTTCTGGAGGGTATCAGAGGCATTTCAAACTTAGAAATCAATATTAACAGAAGGCACCTGAAAGGCTTTTGGGATGCTTTGCAACCACTGTTTTTTATGACAATGGCAAACTTCGTAAACAACTGTACGAAGATGGCTCTATCCTGTTTCATTTAAAAGGCAGCATTTAGCATATAAAATGGGGTAAATTAAGATGTTAATATATTAAGCAATTAATTTATAAACATTTAAAATCATAGATATCTCACAAAACAGCGTCTGTGATAATAAAAATTATTTTTGCAAACAAGGAATAAACACGACTTAAAAATAGTACAAAATGTCTCTTAGTTAGCTTGTCAGCTGGGAGAAGGGGAAGAAGTCAAGTCTTACACTTGAAGTCCAATGGCTTCGTAACATAAAGTACTCCTAATTAAACTTCACATAAAATTTTAACACTGAAATATAAAAAAATTGAAATTTTCAATGATTCCTTACTGTAAGGCCACTGAAACTAGTATCACATTGTTAAATTTTCGCGGTATGTTCAGTAGAATCCAAGGATGCTGGGTTAACTCATCCCATACATTCTGCCTCCAGCATCTGCACTGAGCAAAAACCTTGTTGTGCTTTGTCCTTGGAGTCACTAACAAAAAAATCAGCACGCAGTGCCATGCATCACAACGCCTAGGGTTCACTCATGAAATGATGGGATGCTGACTTTGCTGCAGATGTGGTCTGAGTCTCCAAGGATAAACAGCTCTTGGGATAGGGTTGCTATGACAATGTTGTTGCTAGGATAATTCCAAGGATCACAAGCAAAATAATTACACAAATAATAATGAACAGCATTTTCTGCAAGATAAAGAAAAACATTAATTCATTTTGCAATGCATCAAAGGACAGAAATCACCAGGGCCATTTCCTAACAAAATCCTCCTGGAATTTGAGATCGTTTCAAATCTAAGCCCATTATCAAGGCAGAAGCCCTGATGGCCAGAAGAGGGAGGGGTGAAAACAGTTACAAACTTCACTTATTAAAACTATGTGCTCCTGGAGGGAGCAGGCAAGGTCCACTTGCAACATGTGGGTGCTTAATAAACACTTTCTCTGCATCATAAGAAGGAGCCCTGGTGGCCCAATGGTTTGAACCCTCAGCTGCTAACCAAAAAGTTGGCGGTTCAAGTCCACCAGCGGCACCGCAGGAAAAAAACCTGGCAATCTGCTCCCGTAAAGATTACAGCCCAGGAAACCCTACGGGGCAGTTCTGCTCTGTCCTTTAGGGTCACTAAGAGTTGGAATTGAGTTGACGGCACACAACAATAACACAGACCACAACAAAATTCCAAAAACGCTGCTTCTCAGCTACATTGTATCTCTTTTAAAAAAACTCTTAATGAAATTATTTCTCATTTGCTGAAAAATTGTTCATATTTCTTTTTTTTTGCATTTGTGGGCGATACACTCTGTCAGAAGTCAACGAGATGTTAAGCTGAGTATTCCTCGCATCCATGGCCTAAGTCGGCCACTGCACACGGAGCTTTACATACACGAACAAGCATCGTCGCACAATCAAGGCCAAACAACCTACACGTCTGTCCGGGGAGCATACCCGGGGGAGAAGGGAAAGCTCACCACGCTGGGTGGCTCTGGGTCTCTCTTTAAAAGGCAGAGCTTCATCATTTTTAGTTACAGTTAACAAAAATACGCCACACTTTTATCTAAGAAATCACAGCTGTTGCACCTGGACAGTTCTAAATTAATATTAACACGCCAAGAGTGATTTGCTCAGACCTGCAGGGCTGCCTTCACGATACCAAAACGAACAAAAAACCAAACCCATTGTCATCGAGTCAATTCCAACGCATAGTGACCCTACAGGACACAGCAGAACTACCCCATAGGGTTTCCAAGGAGGGCCTGTGGATTTGAACTGCTGACCTTTTGGTTAGCAGCCGAGCTCTTAACCACTGCACCACAGGGGCTCCTTCAGGTACCACCTCCCTACAAGCCCACCTTCCTTAGTATCAGTAGGTACTTCCCTGGACAATGAGGACTGCACCCTCCTTTTCTAGCATCTTCTCTACATGCTTTTCCATGAACTTCTCTTAGCACCTTTTCAGAAAGGCCCCTTCCTCTTCCCTCCCTCAGGTACAGAACTAAGCGTGTCCCCTAGTGTCATGGATTGAATTGCGGCCCCCAAAAACTGTGTGTAGCAACTTGGTTAGGTCATGATTCCCAGTATTGTATGGTTGTGTAATCTGATGTGATTTCCTTACGCGCTGTAAATGCTATTACTATGATGTAACAAAATGGATTAGCAGCAGTTATACTGATGACATCTTAAGATTAGACAGTGTCTTAAGCCAATCTCTTTTGAGATATAAAAGAGAGAAGCAAGCAGAGAGACATGGGAACCTCACACTACCAAGAAAGCAGTGCCGGGAGCAGAGCGTGTCCTTTGGACCTGAGGTTCCTGCGCTGAGATACTCCCAGACCAAGGGAAGACTGATGCATCACAAGGACCTTCCTCCAGAGCTGACAGAGAGAGAGGGCCTTCTCCTGGAGCTGATGCCCTGAATTTGGTCTTGTAGCCTACTGGACTCTGGGAGAATAAACTTCTCTTTGTTAAAGCCATCCACTTGTGGTATCTCTGTTAGAGCAGCACGAGATGACTAAGACACCTAGTAAGCATGTGCTCATCCCCCACCTCTGTGGGGTCCCTGGGAGCTGTACTCGTGGGATCGGGGCAGTCTCCAGCCCCTAGTTTCTGGCACTTCCCTGCGTGTGGACGTGTGGGCCACATCTAGCTTCAGTTCTCCTCTTTCGAATTCCATCATACCTGAGGCCCCGTGCCCTAAATGCATATATTTAACAACCGTCCTACCTATCCAGACAACAGCTCAAGCCCAATGTGGGCAGTCCTCGGCTACCAGCGAGATCTGTTCCTGAGTGTGTCTTAAGAATTTGTAGGTAAGTTGGAACAGGTGCACGTCGTTCTTATTCAGAATTACTTTAGGGCAGGAAAGCAGTCCTGGTGGTGCAGTGGTTAAGGACTTGGCTGCTAACTGAAAAGTCTGCAGTTCAAACCCACCAGCCGCTCCAAGGGAGGAAGATGTGGCAGTCTGCTTCTGTCAAGATTTACAGCCTTGGAAACCCTATGGGGAAGTTCTACTCTGTCCTATAGGGTCGCTATGTGGAATCGACTCGATGGCAACAGGTTTTTGGTTTGGGTTTAGTGCAAGACAAGGCCCAAAGCCTTGTCAATGATTTTAAAAGCTGCACATGAAGCAAGTGAAGGTGATTATGATGAAGAATTTGTTGTGAGTAGGGCTTAGTTGAATCTTTTCAAAGTGAGGACAAATTTACACCATACTAAAGTGCAAGGTGAAACTGTTCCTCAGTCAGACATTGGTAACCTGGGGACTGCCTGTACTTGGGATTCTCCTTAGGGGAGGAGCACACCCCTGGGAGCCAGCCCAGTTGTTAGTTCAAATTATGGTCCTGGCATCTACTCTACATTAAAGCACGGGCAGGCTGCTCCCTCACTGTCTCCGTATATGTGAAATGGAGCACCCCAGCCACGTGGCCGGGGCATGAGATCAGGATCCCCTCTACAGAGTGCAGACAGCACGCTACCTAGCCTACAGGAAGGCATTCAACAAGTATTTGCTGAAGGATGAAAGAAAAAAGTAATTTTGGGGGGAACAGTTTTCTAAAAGATGTCAAACACTGCCTTGTGGACAAAAATAACTGTGGAGTTTGCACTCTCATCAGTTTGCATCAACAAGGATCGTTTTATACTCGTTTGTGTTTGCATGCCCATGGGGACAACGGCCAGCCAGGCTGAAGGCACAGAGATGGACAGGCCTTCTCGGATTCCAAGTCAATACCCAACAGCATTCATGAAAAGCTGCTCATTTCCCTGGATTCAAGCCAAAAACTGTAATTTTATCTCTAGTATAACGACATTCAGCATTATGGCTACTAGGAAACATTAAGAAAATACACATTTTACCAAAAACTATAAAAACATTAAAAGTACCACTATAGTGATGAGGAAATATCATATACATGTACCTTTTCTTTTTCAGCAGAGCTAATAGGAAGATGCTAGGACACAGCCATAAACACTTTGCCTACTGAAAATACAGGGCCCCAGGAGTTCTTCCATCTGCCTGGAGAATGGAATGTTACCCAGCACAACACCCCAGAGCTTACTGCTGACCTGATCTCAAGTGCAACCTTGCGGCCTGAATCACGTCAGAACACAGCCAAACGCCAAAGTTCCTCACCTCCTGACTGTGGGCCCTAAGCGTAGCAGACACTCACATTAAGAAATACATTTTAAGACTGAAAAGCAGTAGTGACATTTGACTGTACACGTGACTCCTTTACACCATAATATTTCTTTCAAGTGCCAGGTGACTATGAAGTTGGCAGTCACTTTCATGATAAAACGATGAATTCTTCAGGGACTCCTTGTCACAACCTAGAGATGCTGAGATGGGCGTTTCACAGTGTTATCTCAGCGATGATGCCAAACAAACACTCCTAAATTTAACACGCCAGCCAGCACTTTAACTTACTGCAGAAGGGTTAATGCAAAAAGGATGCATTATTAACGCATAATAGAGCCAGAGAAAATACTCAAATCCATGCAAGTCTGGAAAAGGGTGATACGAATATACTGAACAAAAAGTGATATTTTAAATTAATTAGTTAAATATCTATATTCAGAATCCTTGAATTAAGAATTAATAGGCATCCTAACTAAATAAATGCATAGTTTCCATTTTAATAAGCAAACATTTCCAAACAAAATAGATACTACCAAATAGAAACAAATTAGACAATTTTAATTTCACTGAATGTTTTTCATAGCTTTAGCTCTATTCCCTCTAGTTTACAGTAAAATGATGAGTGAATATGTATTTTTACTTTTTATTTCATTTTTATATTATTTTATTTTTTGAACATTTTACAAAGTCACTTTCAGTAGTTTCAATTATTCTGAAAGATAAAATTTAAGAGATATACTGAAAAATAAATGTTAGTTTTTTTAATTAAGTATTAATCATCATTGATATGGTTATTCCCTTTAATTATAAGGGAATTTAATTATACAGAGAGAGAGAGAGTGAGACAAATGGTCTTTCAAGATTAAAATCAAAAGCCTGAAAAAACTAAGGAGCTAGTATTGCCTGCCACACTATCACACTGAGGCAAAGTAAGTAAACCTAGAAGCTTTAAAAGAAAACCACAGAAAAGAAGGTCTCTTCCTGCCCTACCTGCGTGTTCCGAGACTAGAACGCAGGTACACAGGCACCACTAGAGGGTGCCACCCGCACCACGCAGAGGGGGCAGCCAATCTTTTATTATTAAGTCAATTAACAGGCTTGAGCCTGGCTAGTTAGGAGCGTTAATGAGTAAATGAGCTGATTAGTTACTTACTGCCGCGCTGGCAGAGGGCATGCACTTTGTTGTCATCCGCATCATCACTTGCCAACTGACAAACCAATAATTAGGGCAATCACGGCCACCAGAACCACTGACACAGCAACAATTATCCACTTTTTCTGTCAAAGAAAAGTAAGCTGATTATATCATGCTTTATCCCATCTTGCTACCTTCAAAGACATCATCCATTTAAAATAAAGTGACTCAGCAGGACTCATTTTTTAATGTCTATGTCACGGGACTTCTGCTTAACCCTGTGGGACAATTTTTGGTTCTCAAAAAGAAATGACTTAATTTAAGCAGGTCAGAACTGCTGTATCACTCTCAGAATTTAGGTTTCTTCAATGGGGGGCACAGTCACATTATTTGCATAAACTACTGATGGAATGAGACATATAACAATTTTTTTCATGTATGTAGAGCTATGTAGCCAGCTCATTAAACTAAGAAAACAGTTATATTTAATGAGTCCTGTGTTCTTGTAAACCCAGCCTTTGGTTGCTTGCTTATTTGCCGATGGCAGTTAAGCCCCTCACTGCCCCCACCTCAGCAGACTGAACACATTCCTCCACACAGCCTGAGGGAATAAAAACAGGACAGCAGGCCAGGGGACAGCCAACATCTAGAACAGAAGCAGCAGTGAAGCATCTAGACATCTAATTGGGAAGTTAGGGGCTATGTACATCAGTTTTTATGACTCATGAAAACAGACACCATACTTTTTACCACTTTCCACTCTGAGTAATGTACGGACCCCAAGCCTACTAGGCAGAATAGAAATGGAAAGTTATCATGCCCACAGTCTTTGATCTTTATAAACCCAGGGAGCTTTTCACTAAGTGGTCGCTAAGTCGGCATGCTGTTTCGGTCATGCAAAAGAAGAAAGGAAGCACCTTTTAATGAGGGTCAGCTCTGTGCCTGGAACTAAAGCAAGCACTTCAGAGCATACTGCATCACCTCAGCTTACTTCACAATGCACCTCATCACCTCAGCTTACTTCACAGTGCACCGCATCACCTCAGCTTACTTCACAGTGCACCGCATCACCTCAGCTTACGTCACAGTGCACCGCATCACCTCAGCTTACGTCACAGTGCACCGCATCACCTCAGCTTACGTCACAGTGTACCGCATCACCACACCTTACTTCAAAGTGTACCGCATCACCTCAGCTTACTTCACAGTGTACC